CCCCCCCGGCAGCTCCCCCAGTTATATACTAAGCATGACGGGCTAGTTTGGGTCACCTACTTTGCCTATGCCCCCTCTCAGCTTCTTGTGAAAATTAACCCTATCCCAGCCGAACCCAGGCAACCATGTCTCAATTTTTACTGTGGCTCCTATATGCCTTGGAAAAGCTACAGGTGTTGGCCTGCTAAGAATTTACTCCTTATGGGAAGGCTTCGGGCTATCACATAGCTGAAAAAAACCTTTTCCACCTTGTATTGATCTGCCTAGGGACTACTTCTCTGCCCACAACCAGTTTCTGGCTGCCATGGCCAGCAGTCATTCTTTTGGTCAGGACAGCTAAGAGTAATTTTTAAGGTGCTGGAATATATGCTGCTGCTCTGCTGTTAAGAACTGAGTAGGCATATGTACCTGACAGCTTGGATTTTGACAGGTCAATTATTTGCAGATTTATGCATCTGTAGAGTTAGCGGGTGAAACTTCCCCTCGAGCTGACCCTGTAACACTGCTGTTTGTACGGTGGGGTTGGTGCACCACATTCCATGGCAGTGGGAGTCAGGGGCGTTGCTTACACGTAGGCGAAGGCAGGGGGACTGTGCCCATCACAGGGAAGGCCAAACCTGCCATGTAGCCTCCTTTAATAACAGGAGGAGACAAATGGGCCAGAAACAAATGTATTAAACCCCAACAAAGAACTAGTTCTTTCAGTTGGCAACAGTAATAGCTTGAGAAAGAACCTTTTTTACTCTGAATAATAAAACTGCTTTTCCCCTTCCCCCAAATTTATGCTCTTTTTGATTGGGGAAGCTGAATGTTCTGGTAGAAGTAGTAGTGTTGGCATCTGCTGAAGTCAGGAGATAAACCTTTCCTCAGGTACCATTTGTATTGCCTGCAGCCGGAATTTCACTCCAGGTCAGGTTTGACACAGTGTGTTGTCTGATGGCTCTTTATGTGTTGTTTATTTATCCAATTTATGCTGACCTCCCATCTCCTGTCGCCACAGCTGCCAGGCTCAATGCTGAAAACGCTCTTTAGAGATCATGGGTATCCGAGCAGCCGGGCATCATGAATCTATTTTCAAACGCAGTTTTCAAACACAGCACCGATGAACACCTTTCCAAACCTGTGGGGAAGGTTCGGGTGCTGAGTATCCTCTTTCTGGGAAGGTGTTGTTTATCCTCTTTCTGGGAAGGCGAACGCAGCCGCGGCGAGCAGGAGAGGCTTTGGAAAAGTTACTCTGAGCCGACGGGAGCGCGGACGATGTTCCCCTGATGCCCGCACGCGCTCAGCCCCCTCGGCCG